ACAACTCAGGGAGAGTTATAAATCAGGTATGTTTACTCTTGCACCAGGGTGCAAGGGGATTTCTCCACAAAGGTCGCACACCCACCGCACATTTTACCAGAAACTTACGGAGTGTGGATATCCTTGTTCATTGAAATACATAACACAAACATACATATGCATGAGTAAGGCTGGATTAGCTCTAGAGGCTGGTGTCAGCACTTTATGTTCTCTTTGCAACTGCGCATTGCCTCCTGGTGGGCATCTTCGGGGGTCTTTGGAAGGCTCACAGTCCTCCTCAGCTTGTTTTTTCCCAGAGCATGCACAGATTCTCTTGGCCAATTTCTTGAACAACAAGAGTGTTTTTCAGCCGGTTTACTCATTCTATCTTATCTAAGAGAACCAATAGAACTTCTACCATCCATATATGGCTATCTTTACTCATTACCAAGATTCCAACTAGTTAGCGCACACCTGTTCTCCAAGGACAAAAGTATAATAGTTCTTGTTAGATTTTCAGAGTGAACTGCTTTGTCTTGATGAACAGAGTAGTCCTTGGTAAAATTCCACAGCACATTCTGGGCAAGCAGGATTCTTAGCAATATTAAAAAATACTATAAGCAATACTATACCTTGCAATAACTAAGTAAATAAGTTGCTAAGCAGTTTTCTATAAGTAAAAGTCTCAAAACAAGTAATCATTTCTCTGTATCACTTGCAAGAGAAAAATCTTTTTTCTCTGTACCTCCTACTCTACTCCTTCCACAAAACCTTAAGGTGGGATATGGGGAAGATTAGGAAAAACATTCAGTAGAGAGAAATTCCTTTTCAAGCAGCAGCAGAGCACTGAGGAGTCAGACAAACCCAGTTCCAGCAGAAGAAAAGGTGGTTGCAGTGTCTTCCAGACTACAGAGTAAACATGGGGGATCTTCACTCACATACCCTTTGAGAGGAAAGGCATTTTCTTATGGCTTCCTTCCTCATCTTGCCATTCTGAGACAAGTGGTTGTCTGCTTCAGTTTTTACCTCTCTCCAAGAAAATGTTGCCTTTAAACAGTTATTGCCTCATCTTCTCCTTGCTTTCTTCATCCCTTGACACCTTACACCCCACATGGGGTCAGAGGCTCTGTCTTTCCTGCCTTCTCCTCTGCACCTTTCAGTAACTTATGGTTGCTCTTACTTGCTGCTGGGGGTTGCGGTAGCCTCAGGCTCAAATAACACAGTTCTTTCTCCAATTATCTTGAAATGCATTGCCAAACAAAATTTTCATCAAGTTTGCAGACAAATACTTGGCTTGGTGTGCACTCATATGGTCAAGAATTGGCCTTACTTATTTCTCAGTGACAGCAGATACTTATCACAGGCTTATTTAACATGTTCACCCCATTTTTTCTCTTCTCTCTAGCAGCTTGGAAAAGAATTTACACCCATCCTTTCTGCAACAGTCTTTAGATGTATCTGCAGTCTGATCTTACATTCTCCCCTTCCTGTAGAGGTAATTCCATCTGCTTTCTCAGGGTTGTAGGGGCTAAAGACTGGGACTGAATTCCCCCAACTGCAAGCAGCCTGATGATGCCCCGCCCAGGAAACCACCATTCAGCAGCACTACCAGACCACATAAGGGCTCTTAAGTCTGCCACAGGTGCAAAGTCAAACTCTTTCGTTTTGCACCTTTGGATGACTGCTTCCAAAACTGCTTGTGCACACTCGGATGCCTTTACTTTCTATGGGCTTGCCTCTCTCTTCCATGTGTTTTATCAGTGAAAAAATGGCCTTGGATCCAAACACCTGTAGAATCCTGTTCATAGGACATGTGTATAAAATGCGAGTAATCAAGTCTGTTACAGAATCAAAGAAAAAGTCTCTGGACTCTGGTTAAGTCTGATCATTCACACTGTCAGGATTTTGTCTGTACTTGCTGCAACCTGTGTCTGCTGCATCCGGTCCTTTTCCTGTGCACCTCTGAGTATGAGGCTGTCTTTCCCAGAATCTCCCTCAGCTGAAGACAATTAGTTCACCCCTTGGCCTTCTCTTAAAAAATGTTACTCGTCCATTTCAGCCCTTTTGAATGTTAACTTTCCGAGGTGATGCTGTGATATCTTAGTCTTGCTGCAAATTACTATAGCTGCCTAGCATTGGCTTTTTTTTTTTCTCAAACCTGATAATCATCTATTGACTGGCCAGAATGGCATGGCAGAGTAATTTGGTCACTGTGGGATGGCTATAATGAGGCTTGTGGCACATTCCCTACCCACAGTGGAATTCATCCCAATAAGACATATTACAAGGACAGTCTCTTGCCTGGGCCTGCAGCCAGGTTTTAAGTACTGTATGGAAAAGGTGGCATTTCTGCATTGTCCTGTGTGGGATTCTTGTACCCTAATCCCTACAGATGTGATGGACATCCTTGGCTTCAAAGGAAGTATTCATCCCCTTTACATTTAGAATGCAACCACTTATCAGCTAGGTTACAAGACAGACATGGGCCCCAAATGCAGGAAGGAGGGTAATAAAGGCATAATACAAAAGGCAGAAGATTGAGTCATTTGTGGTCCTACAGCTAGGCAAGACAGCAAAACTCCAGGCAGCTAGTGCTGCAGAAACCCCTGTGTATGGCTACTGCATTAAGCATCCTCTATGAAGATAGACCTCTTACCCCACTGCACGAGCTGGGATCCTACTCTGTGAAAAGCACTGCATTTACTCACCAGGGACAGGCTCAGCTTTTGCCCTCAGTGAGGACTGTCAGTGCTGGCATAAACAAACACAATGGTGGAAGTAAAAGGAGGGGAGGGAATAACCTCTCTCCTTTGTAGCACTCTCTACAATTGCATGAGATGGGACAGCAGTAGGTAAAGGTGAGCACAATTAGCCCTCCAGAGAGCCGCAAACCACAGCTGTTCTAGCAACAGGGTTCAGCTCCAGCAACTCAAAGATAAAAGCAATACCTACCTCTACAGCCAGCCCTTAATGGAACTGCAGTAAAGGCTTGAAGTAAATAAGCATCCTGTTATAACCACATTTTGCTCAAGCACCAAACCACAGCTGAATCCCAAGTGTTGAGTTTCAGTAGCTTTTCAGTAGCACTCACTTCACATAACCACCATCTGACAGCTTACAGACTAGCACCAGTGATGTGGTCTTAAAAAAAAAAAAAAGAGAGTAGTTTTCTAGCAATTCACATCAAATTTACAGCTTCTGAAAATAAGAGGTTTTTGAAAGAATATTGAATTTTAAGTATGCAACACATCCTGTTATCATGAAAGGTCAGGATATGATCCATTATTTCTATTTTACAGAAGCAGAATTTTAAACTAATTGGCAGTCTAGATCTGTACTTTCATTACCATCACCCAATCATTTCAATAATATGAGGTATACATTCAATCTAAGAAATAACTAAAAAGCCAATCATGACAACATGTAGCCAATTTTCCTGTTCCTTTTTCTCCTTGAAAATAACCCATTTTAAGCCCTTTCACCTGCAGTTACCAGATATGTTACACTTCCAATTCAAATCCAGTTTTGTTGTATTTCAGTTCCTTATACTTTGTAAGACTTTATTAGTTGAGAACACACGCTGGTAGTTAAGGATTTATTTCTTCCAAATCATAATCTAGAAGAGATTGTACATTTATTAAGAGCAATTAGTTTAATAAAACATGACAATATTTCCTGATAGACTGCCATCACCTAGATCTGAAATCACTGTTTCAGCTAATCTGCAATGTCAGGAAAATGAAGCTAGCATTGCCCAAATAAGAAACCAGATCCCCCAAATCCTAGTTACCAGTATTATCTACAGTGAGAAAAACACAAAACAAGTCACGCAACACCACTGCTACAGGGACAGGCTTTTTAACTTCTGGAACATCAGGGCTACATCAAAAGAAGCATGGCTAGCAGGTTGACAGAGGTGATTCTCCCCCTCCACTCTTGTCAGGCCTCCCCTGGACTACTACATCCAGCTCTTGAAGCCCTTGACATAAAGATGACATGGGCCTGCTCAAGCAGGCCCAGAGGAGGCCACAAAGATGATCAGGGACTGGAGCACCTCCATTACAAGGACAGGCTGAGAGGGCTGGGATTGTTCAGCCCAAAAAAGAAGGGCCTTCAGTCAGACCTTGTAGCAGCCTTCCAGTAGGTAAAGGGGCCTACAGGAAAGATGGGGAGGGATCTTTAGTAGGGAACGTAGTGATATGATTAAGGGTAATGGATTTAAATTGAAAGGGGTTGTATTTAGATTAGATATAAGGAAGAAATTCTCTACCGTGAGGGTGGTGAGACACTGGCACAGGTTACCCAGAGAAGTTGTGGCTGCCCCCTCCCTGGCAGTGTTCAAGGCCAGGTTGGATGGGGCTTTGAGCAACATGATGTTGCAGGTGTCCCTGTGGCAGATGATCTTTACCATTCTATTATCTGAGATCTGTACAGCTGAGGAAGGCACCTTAGCAGCTCACATGCTAAAAGCAGACTTAATTTCACATTAAAAACCTCTAACTTTTTAAATGTCAGTAACATGCAGTCAGTCACTTCTTACAAAAGAGTCTTAGACTGTAACTTGTTCTTAGTTTGGGCAACATTTGACCATCTGTTAAATCTGGAGAGGTATGTGTTCAGAAACATCTGAGTAGTGAGTCAGCACCAATTCCTCAGGATCTCAGCATGGTTTGACAAGTCACAATCAAATCTGACTGCACTGTCAAATGCAAGAATTGTGCAACAATCCACTGTGGTAACAAAGCTGAAAAAAAGGTGACAGCAACACACTGGTCAAGACATTTAAAACAGCTTCAGGCAGCCAGTGCCACCAGCCTCCCCCCACCTGTCCATATATAGTTCAATTGTATCTATTTTCTGATCATCACCTATGCAAAACTGGTGTAGTGAGTGGCTGTTGCTGGCGGAGTAAGATGGGGTATTTCAGCTGCAGCAATGGCCAGCTTGTGATAAATGTTTCCTGTCACATTCTCTAAGTATTTCTGCTGCTTTTCTCTGCAATTCTCTCAATAAATATCAACTGAAATTTTCAAAGCACTTTATTGATAAACTAGCATACAGAGTCCATCAACCACTGAACAGTTCAGAGCCTAGCCATGTATTTCCATGTATGAAATTATGATCCAATCTTTTGTTCATTTCAGTATGGACTCTTCACTTGCTAGGAGGGAAGGAAGAAAAAACACAGTTAGGACTACTAGTCACTCTCATGCAGTACTAAAATACACAAATCATTAGTAGGATCAAAGGCTACCTTTAAGTATGATATTTATTTCCAGTCTGTTTTTATGATTCCTGCTTTTACTTATTCAACCAAAGTGTATGTCACTGCTTTGGGGTAAAGGCTCTTTTCAGGTTTACTCAATAGTAAGTTTTCTTAATTGACAATTCAAACAAGCCCAGAAAGTGCTATCATTACAGATACGTCCAGTTATCCACCATTAAAGAATAATCTTCAGTAACTACACACTGAATGAAGTTTTAACAATTACCTTTCTAACTGAAAAACAATACCAAAATCACTTCTGGGAAAGGAGATCAGTTATCTCTGTGCCACTCAGATAAACATTCTAAACATATAATCATACAATTCCATTATTCAGTGGAGTAGCAACACCATGCAACAGCCTCTATCTCCAAAATACAAAAAGTTTCAGCTAAACTAGAAAACATATAAAAGACCTATTTATTTAGTCTATGACTTATAGAGACTATGTATTTAAGATGGTAAAACAGCTGTGCAAAATCGTTTTATCTCTAGTAAGAGATAAAATTCACCAACTTGCATACTTGATTTTCTGTATTTAATTTTACAGCGTTTTCTTCAACATTATTCTTGTTCAAGACAATGCAAATACCACTGTTTTCCAGGGAAATAGCTACTAAGTGTGTAGCTGCACCAAGAACAGCTTGCATTACTAATCAATTTGTTAAAAGGTCTTAACTGTAAGTCCACTTAATAAAACCTAGGTGAATTCAAGCTTGAGAGCACACTCCTCTGTAAGGCAGGGGAGGAATCTTCTGTTAGAAATACCCAGGGGACAAGAAATTATCCTAACGACAAGGGAGAGCATGCTGCAGCAGGAATACTATAGGGTGGAATGGTATGAGAAAGAAGCAGCAGTACTAAACCCAGCTGAACACATTCAGCATATTCTGTTCACATGAGAAACAACAAATACAGCCAACCTCTAACACTATACTAGTGGCACCACTTAAAAGTCTAAATTAAAATTACAAGCTGGTTTAGATTATCAACCACATCTGTGAGATTTCTGTATTGCACGGAGAAAAGGGATCACGCTTCCTGCACCCAAATGAATAAGGGACATCTGAGTACAATTAATATCCAGTTCCACTTATTCCTCACAGAAATAACCAGCAGCTTTTAGGAGTTTGTTTTCTCAGTGGAAATTCAGACAGCCATTTAACAAGTCCTGTTCGGTTGCAAAAGTGTTCATAACTCCTCCTCTGCTGAAGCTTGTATTTTGAAAAGCTTATCAAACAAAACTACTTAGCCTTCACATAACCCTAACCACTGCTCCACGGATCCACAGCTGTTGCAGCCCACTGTCTGTAAACCCAAGTTTCTCCTAAAAGCACTGCAGTAAAACTGCAGTACACCTTCAAGCCAGTGTGTGCACTTTGACATGGGATGCAAAAATTAAATTGAGGGACTACCTTCCGCAAGCTCTTTTGCAATCCGCTCAAGTTCTTCACGCTTCTTTTTCTCTTCAGCCTCTATTCTTCTCTCTTCCTCAGCAATAGGCTTTAGGTAGTCTGCCATTAAACATTTGCTTTATAACACAATGTGTAGAACCCAGCACAAAGCTCTGCACCTGCTAGCTCACTCAAAAAGGACGAAAAAGCAGTTTCACTGTCACAGAGTCGTATTTTATACGAAGCTGTGACTTCAAACCTTTAAGAACCCGTCCCTGAGGGTCTCCTCGGCAAGGCCTTGGCAGCTCCCGCTGCGGCAGGGAAGGGGGAAATGGCGGCCGGGCCCCTCGCTGCACGGCCTGCCACGGCCGCCTCAAGGTGACCTTGCGGACTGCACGGAGGAAGAGAGGCCGCCCGAGGTGTCGCACTCACCGTATCGTTTCTTGCCGTAGATCATCCCCACCAAGAGGGCCGAGTACCGGGTGAACTGTAGGAGGCAGAGACAAGGACGCGCCCTTCGCTCAGTTCAGCCGCGCCGACAGGCCGGGCCAGGCCCGGCTCGACG